TTCGCTAAGTTGACTTGACTCCCGATAGTTCATCGGCCTGAATTTTGTTCGGGGCCAGCGGAAGATCGCATCACTAATACCGACCTTCGGAACAGTATCAGGCTATTAATAGGGTATGCCCATCTCTATTCCCCTCATCGTCGCTACCCACCGGCGCCTTCTATCAGTGTTCTTCATTTTCGGCATTCCTAAGACTTGTGCCATCACAGTGGTTTGTTGCTGGTTTAGTTTTTCTGGCGTCAGTGGTAGCCGATGAGTGACGAGATCCAGTGTTCGCTGCGGTGTGCGGTTGACCTCAGATAGACGGTTTCATGGGCCATGAGCTTGGTTTCTTTCACCCGTTTCATATTGCCATCCAAATCATTATTATCCTTTCGCCCATTGAGTTTTGTAAGATTGACAGCCAGCTCAGCCTTATATTGTTGGGCTGCAGAGACAATGCACTTGATGAGCTGAATAAATTTAAATCCACCGGCGTCTTCCACAGTGAAAGCAATTTACTTCGAGGGCCCACATATCCTCGCGATCGCTGTCAAATTACGTGCTCCTAAGTGAACGACAACCATGCATTGAAACTCCTCGCTGGTCCACCTGGGTCCACGGTCGGTTTACGGTCAGTGGCTTCCAGGAAGCACGATGTGAGCGCCTGTATTGAGAGTTGGTGCTAGCTGGAAGCGAATTTTGTTCAGCGCACAACTGAAGAAGCCGCCGTTCATTCGGTCTGAGGTCTTGTCCACGTACTTTGGAGATGCGGCATAGATCGATTGAAAAAGAAAACAAGGTCTGAGCAAAGGATACCCGTTTCCCAAATTGGCTCAATATGGATGTTAGAAGTCGTAAAATGTGCAACGGTTACTTTGAATTCGATGAGGATTTACTTTGGTTCGTTTTGGTGGGAGCAAGTTTACATACAGATCAACGGTTAGGGGAGTAACAGCTAAACGAATAAGAATGGCTTAGTTTAGGGGCATGTGTGGAAGGTTCGGTGATTGAAAGACTAAAGACAAACGATTATTTCCGACTACCCAGGCCGAAGAATGGGGCTGATCGACGTGCACCACTTTCATTCACTGACTCAAAAGACAGGAAAGCACTCAGGTTCCTTTTCAAGGACTCTTCCTCTAGTCCCTGACTCGAGTCCAGACGTCAAGGCTGTGGTCACTGCTCTCTTTGGGGACCCTTCCCGTAGCCAGTGACATAACAGCGCGACCCACTTGACTGCAGAGGACCGGTCTGACCAAAGGGAACAGAGACCAAGGCCTAGACGCCTGACTCTTGGTGCTTCTATCAGATTAGATGATCACGACAAGGGTCATTTGTCTTTCGGCAGTATTCGGTAACTCGTCTGTGGTCGAAGTCAGCCATTCAAAGACCGGATTGACGGCTGACTTTTTCTGGCTCGTCCTTCCGGACGGAATGGCTCAGTGGGTTGAGTGGAATTTACTGGAACGGAAGGTCCGTGTTTCGAACTCGACCTCAGCCTCTCGACTTCCCCTGTGTAGCCTTGGGCAACCTGACGATACCTCAGCCCTCACGCTTCCTTCGGGTGGCATAACAGTTAGGCACTAAAAGGGTGTTACAGCTGAACGATTATCTTTTTCATCTTTTTAACCCGGGGTGCCCAAACACTGATGCTTTGCTACCATACAACTATAATGTATTTGAAAGCCTTGTTCCGAAGAAATGGATTAAAGTGAGTGGGAAAAGGACTTAGTGGTAACCACTACGCTCCCCAACAACACACTGATGATGCCACATCGATTGGTGATGAAACGTTTGCAATCTTATTGTCCAGCTCAGCGAACAAGCCAACGACCATGTACGCTACCTGAGCTACCAACATTTTCTTCTATAGAAAATTTAGAAACATAAACACTGCACACCGAGGGCGTCAAAAGACTTTCATTGTTTGACCATCAATATCTTCGGTACATTGCCCGGCTCGCATGCGGAAACGTCGGTTTTCGTAAGAAATAGCTCACCCACGACAGATGATTTGATCACACTCCATAGGTTACGCTAGTTTGGTCACGCGCTCTGTGTGCCAGTCACCCGACTCTCTTGAAGGGCTCCTTTCGCGAAACCAGGTGAACGGTGGAAACGAGCCAAGGGAGATTGAGTAATGACTCGGTGACGGAGTAAGGAAGCCATTACTAGCAAACTCAGCTGCGCTGGTCATTGCGGTCCCCCTGGATGGGGACCCGGAGACGGGACTCATCGATGTTTAGGGACATTGTTAGACATGTTCAAGTCGCTTTCTCAGTGGTGCTCATGCATCTAAGCTATTACTTTCAATTCATAGTTCGGTTCCAATTCTCCTTAATGAAAAGTTCACTGGCACCCCTGTGTATACCCATCAGTTATATCAGCTACCGCCTCCAATTTGCAGCTGTCTACTGCACCTCCCCGAATCATCGGTGAATGAAACTGTGTCAGCTATAACTACTGTATGACAGCTGATGATAACGTCTCAGCCATACAGCACAACAGCCCGTACTATAACCTGACACACGTCCTTTGACATTCAGGGATATGCCGCTTCATCCCCATAGGTGTTCCAAATTAGCGAACGCGACCCGAGACTTAGAGATTCGTGCGTTGATCTCATATTTCACACTACATTCAGAACTGAGCAACTTCCAAATGCTTCACGACCTTGAGTACCTGTCCTTTAATTGTAAGTGGCGTGTTCAATGACTGCATGTCCAGAAGCGTAGCCTCACACCTTGTCGGTGCAAACACATTGGTGATTTCGATAATTTCATTCAAAAACACCCAAGCGCTTTTCCTTATTTTTAAAGGCGAGTATGATGTCGTATGCGTCTTCCAGATCGACAAGGTTTTTGGCAACAGCTATTTAAACACCTGGGTTTTGAAGATCTTTCATCGTTTCTCCTCAGTCTTTCGTCGATCACGAAATTAAATGGAAATGGAAAGAGTTGGCATCCTTGATTGACACCACTTTGTGTACGGAAGCGTTTGGCAAGCTCTCAGTATATACTGTCACACGCCCGGAATTTCGGGAATACAAGGATCATGTTATACTAATAAATTTCTGGGACATTCCTTGCCGGGTAAGCGTGTTAAGGAGAACAGACCACCCAACCAAATGGAATCCAGGAGTACTATAGCAGGGTCGTTTACATGTGTGGCGTTGTTCCAGCACCTGACGAGTGTGAAGGGGGAATACAAGGATCATGTTATACTAATAAATTTCTGGGACATTCCTTGCCGGGTAAGCGTGTTAAGGAGAACAGACCACCCAACCAAATGGAATCCAGGAGTACTATAGCAGGGTCGTTTACATGTGTGGCGTTGTTCCAGCACCTGACGGAGTGTGAAGATTTGGTCAACCCAACCCTACCAGGCTGGAATGCCGCTTGCTACTCACGAACCACTGCTTCATGAGCCATCATAAGGCGTCGTTACTACTGGGATCAAGCTGATCACCGTGTGATTACCACAGCCACTACGAGCTTATTTTCTGGAACTGGGCACAATAGCTGATTCTCCGCAGTTGTCTCGGATATTTTACTTTTCACTGATGCAAGTAAATAGGAGACAAGTGCTGACTCAAGACATCTCTCCCACCCTTGAACAGTGCATTTCGGCAAGGTCCGAACCAGCTCAGCTTTTCGCTTGACTCCCCCAGTGTCAGGTGGTCAAGAATCAGTGCGGTTTCAATAGCGTGGATATTGTAGGTATGGGTGCTGAAGACGTTCTGCTTGGTTGGATTCTCGTGAACAGCCTGAATGATGTTAAGACTGGTCGGATTTATCAGACTTTGATGCCCGTGACCAAACCGCGATGGGCTCTTTACATGTCTCTGAGTGACAATGTGCACGGATTTGAGTGTCTCAGTTAACGATTTGACTTCCCGAGTGGG